AGACTTCAAAAAAAAAGGCTATAAAGAGAGACCCAGAAGGTCACTTCATTATACTCAAGGGAAGAACCCACCAAGAAGACATTAACATTGTAAACATATATGCACCCAACATAGGGGCACCCAAATATATCAAGAAAATCTTAGAGGACTTCAAGAAAGATATTGACAGCAACACAATCATAGTAGGGGATTTGAACACCCCACGATCAAAAATGGACAGATCTTCCAAACAAATTATCGACAAAGATATTGTGGCTTTAAACAACACCCTAAATGAAATGGACTTAACTGATATATATAGAGCCCTTCATCCCAAAGAAGCTAAATACACATTCTTTTCAAATGCACATGGAACATTTTCAAAGATAGACCACATGATAGGACACAAAACGAGCCTCAAAAAATTCAAGAAAATTGAAATCATACCAAGCATCTTCTCTGACCACAAGGGACTGAAATTAGAAACCGACCCCAAAGAAAAAAACCGAAAGCACCCAAAAACATGGAGACTGAATGGTATGCTATTAAACAACGAATGGGTCAAGAATGAAATTAGGGAAGAAATCAAAAAGTTTTTGGAAACAAATGAAAATGATCTCACAACAACCCAAAACTTATGGGACACAGTGAAGGCAGTCCTGAGAGGGAAGTTTATAGCAATACAGGCCTACCTAAAGAAAATAGAAACATTTCAAACAAACAACCTAACCCTACGCCTGCAAGAACTCGAGGAACAACAACAAAGACAGCCCAGAGCAAGCAGAAGGAAGGAAATAACCAAGATTAGAGCAGAATTAAATGACATAGAAACTAAAAGCACAATTTTAAGGATCAATGAATCCAGGAGTTGGTTCTTTGAGAAGATAAACAAAATAGACAAGCCTTTAAGTAGGCTCATCAAGAAAAGAAGAGAGAGGACACAAATAAACACAATCAGAAATGAAAGAGGAGAGATTACAACTGATACCACAGAAATAGAAGAGATTGTAAGAAATTACTATGAAGAACTGTATGCCAAGAAATTTGAAAACCTAGGGGAAATGGACACATTTCTAGAAAAATACAATCTTCCAAAACTCAGTGAAAAAGAAGCAGAAAATCTAAATACACCAATAACAGCAAAAGAAATTGAAGCAGTAATCAAAAAACTCCCATCACACAAAAGCCCTGGACCAGATGGTTTCACAGGAGAATTGTATAAAGCATTTAAGGAAGAGCTAACCCCTATTCTCCACAGACTATTTCAAAAAATCCAGAAGGATGGAAAACTCCCAAATTCTTTTTATGAAGCCAGCATCATCTTAATTCCAAAATCAGATAGAGACACAACAAAGAAAGAAAACTTCAGGCCAATATCGCTGATGAACATAGATGCTAAAATCCTCAACAAAATATTGGCAAATCGCATCCAACAATATATCAAAAAGATCATACACCATGATCAAGTAGGATTCATCCCAGGGATGCAAGGATGGTTCAATATTCGCAAATCAGTAAATGTAATATATCACATAAACAAAAGCAAAGACAAAAATCACATGATCATATCAATAGATGCGTAAAAAGCTTTTGATAAGGTACAACACCCATTTATGATAAAAACACTCAGCAAAGTGGGAATACAGGGAGCATTTCTCAAAATAATAAAGGCCATATATGAGAGACCTACTGCCAATATCATACTCAATGGGAAAAAACTAAAAGCTTTTCCACTAATATCAGGAACAAGACAAGGATGTCCACTTTCACCACTTCTATTCAATATAGTATTGGAAGTTTTAGCCACAGCAATCAGGCAGGAAAAGGAAATAAAAGGCATCCAAATAGGAAAGGAGGAAGCAAAACTGTCACTGTTTGCAGATGACATGATAGTGTACATGGAAGATCCTATAGACTCTACCCCAAAACTGCTCAAACTAATTGATGAGTTTGGCAAAACAGCTGGTTACAAAGTCAATATCCAGAAATCAAAGGCATTTTTGTATACAAACAGTGAATCAGCAGAAGCAGAAATAAAGAGAAAAATCCCATTTGATATAGCAAAAAGAAAAATAAAATATCTGGGAATAAACCTAACTAAGGAGGTAAAAAACCTGTATGCAGAAAACTACACAGCCCTGAAGAACGAAATCAAGGAAGACACAAACAAATGGAAACATATACCTTGTTCATGGATTGGAAGAATTAACATCATCAAAATGTCCATACTACCCAAAGCAATATACAGATTCAATGCAATACCTATTAAAGTACCAATGGCATATTTCACAGACATAGAACAAACACTTCAAAAATTTATATGGAACCATAAACGAGCCCGAATAGCAGCTGCTCTTTTGAGAAAGAAGAACAAAGTAGGGGGGGATCACAATACCTGATATCAAACTGTATTACAAGGCCACTGTAATCAAAACAGCCTGGTACTGGCATAAAAACAGGCATATAGACCAATGGAACAGAACAGAGAGCCGAGAAATCAACCCAACTCTCTACAGTCAATTAATATTCGACAAAGGGGGCAGTAACATAAAATGGAGTAAAGATAGCCTCTTCAACAAATGGTGTTGGGAGAACTGGACAGCTACATGCAAAAAAAATGAAACTTGAGCACAGACTTACACCATACACCAAAATAAATTCAAGGTGGATAAAAGACTTAAATGTAAGTCATAACACCATTAAAGTCCTAGAGGAGAACATTGGCAAGAAATTCTCAGATATTTCACGCAGCAACTTCTTTACTGATATGTCCCCTAGAGTAAGGAATGTAAAGGAAAGAATAAACAAATGGGATCTCATCAAAATAAAAAGCTTCTGCATGGCTAAAGAAAACAGTATTAAATTAGCAAGACAACCAACTGTATGGGAAAACATATTTGCCAATGATACCTCAGACAAAGGTTTAATCTCTAAAATATACAAAGAACTTACACGACTCCACTCTAAGAAGACACCCAACCCAATTAGAAAATGGGAAAAGGACTTGAGCAAACACTTCTCCAAGGAGGACATACAGAACATTCAGAGACACATGAAGAGATGCTCAATATCATTAGCTATCAGAGAGATGCAAATTAAAACCACAATGAGATACCACTTTACACCAGTCAGGATGGCTATCATAAACAAAGCAACAAACAACAAATGTTGGAGGGGTTGTGGGGAAAAGGGGTCCTTAGTTCACTGTTGGTGGGAGTGCAGACTGGTACAACCATTATGGAGAACAGTATGGAATTTTCTCAGAAAAGTAAAAATGGACCTGCCTTTTGACCCAGCAATTCCACTGCTAGGATTATATCCCAAGAATCCTAAAACATCAGTTTCAAAGAACCTATGCACCACAATGTTCATAGCAGCACAATTTACAATAGCCAAGAGTTGGAAGCAACCTAGGTGCCCATCAGTAAATGAATGGATCCAAAAATTGTGGTACATGTACACAATGGAATTCTATGCTGCAGAGAGAAAGAAGGAGCTACTACCCTTTGCAACAACATGGATGGAACTGGAAAGCATTATGCTGAGTGAAATAGGCCAGGGGTTGAAAGACAAATACCATATGATCTCACCTTTAACAGGAAGCTAAACAACAAAACAAACAAACAAGCAGAAAAAAAAACAAACAAAAAACAAAGACACTGAAATAGAGAACAAGGGATAGTGACCAGAGGGGAGAAGGAAGGGAAGTTAAGGGGAAAAAGGGGGAGGGATTTGGAGGAACAAATAGGAAGGACACAGGGACGAGAACCAAGGGGGGTGGAAATGGGAGGGAGGTGGGGAGCAAGGGGCGGGGGAGGCTGGGATGGGAAAAATAGACAAAAAACTGTACTTGAAAAAATAAATAAATAAATAAATAAATAAATAAATAAATAAATAAATAAATAAATAAATTTAAAAAAAAAGAAAATATCTATGGGAATGAAGTTTTTTATCTTGCTGTAACCATTACTTAGACAACCTAGTCTGGAATTCAAGGGCTTTTAGAACATTCACCCTATGAGCCAGCAATCTCTTCAGGACCATTTCTACCACAGGAATGGAACCTGTGGGTGCTGTGGACAAGAGTGGGCTGTAATCATGGTTGCAATATTATTCAAACCCAAGGACACCTTCAGACTTCTAGAGCCTGCCAGTAGTGAGGGCTTTGCTCCAGTCCTCATTCCCTGACTGGACACGTGGATATACTCTAGGACAATTGGGGTCCTTTTAAGAAACGACATTCTGCCAACCAACCAGAGGCTGGTTGGTGTGGCTCAGTGGATTGAGCTCCAGCCTGTGAACCAAAGGGTCACCAGTTTGATTCCTAGTCAGGGCACATGCCTGGGTCCCCAAACGGGGCCTGAGAGAGGCTACCACACATTGATGTTTCTCTCCCTCTCTTTCTCCCTCCCTTACCCTTTGTTTAAAAATAAATAAAATCTTTAAAAAAAAGAAACAACATTCTGACCATTACACACACTGCAGTTTTAGTGTGTAAATGGCCCCCTTGTTTCTGTATTATTGTGTACTTTTAATTACCTAACTGCACATCAAGAAACAGCTCCAAGAAGAATCAGCCTCTGTATAAGACCAGAAAGAAAAAGAGGGATTCAGTTGCTTCTCATTTCCAATATGTCTCCTAATTATGTGTATTTTTTAAAATCCAAAGTAAGTGGAATTTATTTTGCTTTTAATTATTGTTTGAACCAATTTTGGAAAATACAGGAAGTAGAGGTGTCAAGTAAAAATAGTTATGTCATAGAATCAACAAATATAAAGACTCTAGTGGTAGAGAAAAGACCTCATGTATCTTTGTACATAATGATGCATTTCATTTCTTTCTTATTAATACAACATAGGAGTTGTATGAACTATAAAAGACCAGAAAATTCTTTGAAGAATATCATGTATATATTGTATACACAGGGCTGTATACAAATGCATTATATCTTGTTACTATACCAAGATGCATACAACTTGATATAAATTGAAAGCTTGTTTATTAATTTTTTCATTTGTAGTTCCTATGGACGATCCACTTAGGGAGATGGCTGAGTACATGGATTCTAGTCGAGATGAAGTCTGGGAGAAGACCTCCTACAACAAACAAGTTACATTTTTGGTATACCGAGAAGGGGAGCAATTGAATTTCTTTCGTGTAGTAGATAGGGGAGATGGCACTTTAACACCATTATCTGAATCGTTAAGGTAAATAGGTTTCATTTACATGTCTCACTTAGAAAGGATTATCATATGATACACTCCTTAAACCTTTATGTTTACCTTGTGTTGTCAAAATTATCTTATTATATTCACAAGACTAACTAAATTTTGTGCATTTTCCTCTAAACCTTCAGCCCCAGGTATGTGATTCTGAAATTGCCCTCATATGATTAATACTTAGAGGATAGTTTTTAAACCTGAAATTTCTTTTTGGAATAAGATTTTTTTATACAAAAGATTTATTTCTGTGACATTATGAAACTTTAAGATGCTTACTGGATTATAGAGTCTTGTTATAACAGTATGTTCTTATACAGCCTTGTCATAGTAGAAAAGGTTGAACCTAAAATTACTATCATTTTTCAAAATTTAACTCTGCTGCTTAAAGGTGGGTAAATCTTACTCCTCTGGTCTTGTTTTTCTACTCTGTAAGAGGGGGAGAAGTTGTGACATTACTTGTAAAATTAAAAGAATACAACCTAAAGGTACTTGGCAGGGCAAAACAACATTTAGGGTATTGGACAAGGTAATCTATACATTTTTGTGCATTTTGTCTTACTGTCATTCTTTATTGCCTTTCACTTAAGTCACTAAATATTTACTGAGTTTTTGTAGCTACTCTCTACCCTAGGCACTGGCTTACAAAGATGATTATTTCTCCCTTGTGGAGCATGCAGTCTGCTATAAATAGTATCTATAATATACTATTGGCAATTGTTATGAAAACATATCAACATCTCTGAAAAACCAGGTGAGAGGGCCTTCATTTTCCTGAAAGGTGGGGGGTTAGGGACAATCTCTGAGCAGAAGCAACCATAAATGAGGAGTATGAGTTTGCCAAGCAGATAAAGGAGGAAAGAATTGTTATAGGTAACAGTTATAGGTACCAGTGTTATAGGTAACAAAATTTAATCCACAACATAAAAAGCCTAGTTGCAAATTATTTATAGAAAAGATAACTAACTGATAGTCTGAAGAACAGCTTCTGTGGGTCCAGAGTCTAGACAGCGTAGCTGGGTGCTCTACTCAGGGCCCCACAAGCTACAATCATGGTGTTGTCAAAGGTGTCCTCTTATCTGGAGGCTTGACTGGAGAAGAGAATCTGCTTTCAAGTTAATTCACATTGTTGTCATAATTTGTTTCCTGGTGGTTATATGACTGAGGGCCATGGGTTTTTTTGTTGGCTATTGGCTGCAGTCTGCCCAAAGCTCCCTGGTAGTGAACTCAAAAAGTCTACTGATTTGGGGCCTAAATTACCTCTGCAAAATCCTTTTAATTTTGCTCTATTCTGTTGGCTACATGTAAACCACAGGTTATGCCCATGCTTAAGGGTAGGAGAGTATACAGGGTATGAGCGTCAGATATTGGGAATCATCAGTATTCCTTTAGGATTTCTCCCACCACAGTGTTACGTGGAAGAAAGATTAGAATTTGTGGAAGAAGGAGAGCAGACTGTAACAAAAGGGTATTGACTGTATATTTTTTATTCTTTATTGAATTTATTGGTGTGTCATTAATCAATAAAATTATATAGGTTTCAGGTATACTGTTAACTCTAGTGTGTCAGGATATGGTTAGCACTACAAATGTGGCATAAACATTTGAGCTTGAAGTTTAGAAGAGGGAGCAATGAGAGCTACAGCCTTAATCCGGTGTGTCTCATTTGGACCATGAATAGAATTTCTTTATACAGTCTCTCTGTGTGCTAGCTCACTGCTGTTTTGGTTTTCTTTTTTAGGAACATTCTCTTTTGTCTCTCCTTTTCTAAAGGAGAGAATCTGAACTCCCTAGCTTAGCATGTAAGGCCCTTTACTACCTGTCATTATCAATTTTTCAGGTCTCTTTCATTATGTCATTTTTTTGGCACATCTATTTCCTTTTCATTGAAATGCCATTTCCTCCTTTTACTCCAATTTTTCCTCAGCCTACTTTTATTGTGTTTTAGACACAGCACAAGTGTTGCCATAGATTTTAATTAAAATTGCATTATTGTTCCTCTCAAGGTAATTTAGATTTTTCTCTCTTCTTTTCTATTTACTTACCAGAATTGGACAAGAAATAGAATGGATGAACAAGGACAATGGAAAAAAAATTTTGTTTATACCTTGAAAGGAAATTTATTATGCCTATGCTACAAGAGGCAGCAAACTTTTTTGTAAAAGGCAAAATAGTTACTATTTTAGGGCTTTAAGGCTAAGAGATAAAATCAAATGTAGGTATTTATGTAACAAGAGAGAAAATTTTTTTCAGAAGCTTTTTAATGATAGATTCAGAAATGAGAATAACGAGTATGTGTGTGGGCCTTTGTGTGTGATTCAGGTATACTAATGAGAATTATTTTTTTGTTGGAGTGATACTTGGCGTAAAAAGTCAGTGTTGCCGCCCTGGTTAGTGTAACTCAGTAGATTGAGCACTGGCTGAGAACCAAAGGGTTGCCAGTTCAATTCCCAGTCAGGGCACATGCCTGGGTTGCTGGCCAGGTCCCCAGTGGGGGGCACTTGAGAGGCAGTCATACATTAATATTTCTTTCCCTCTCTCCTTTCCTTCCCCTCTCTCTAAAATGAAATAAAGAAAATCTTTAAAAAATACAAAATTAAAAAGAGAATTTTTTTTTAAGTTAGTGGCGCCTATCATATTTGCAAAATCAGTTGCAAAACTTCATTTGTGTAATATTGATCAGTAAAGAGGTTTTATCTTGGAAAATTTCTTTTCACAAAGATAAGTACTACCAAATACTAATAGGAGTTCATGAGTATATAATTTTATTAGAGCATATTCATCACTTGGAAGGTATTTATAGAATTCTGTTAGACTCTTGTTGCTGTTTACTTTTTAATATGGTATTACGTTGCAGATTATTTTCAATTGGAGATGGATGGAGCTCCTTAACACCATATTTTAATATATTTTTTAATATGGAAATGTCTATCAATTTACAGGGATGTATAAAAATGCTGCTGGGGGCATACTTTGAGTTCAAAAATTGTCTGCTGCAAATACGTGTAAGAATTGAGATCTCGCTTGTTTCTAACTTTTGAAATATAGCATTACATGTGATTACATTTTGACGAGTCAAAATGGCATTACTACAGTATAAGTTTCTCACAAAAGTACTCTTTTGCCTTGTAATTTTAGGTGGAATTCACTATCAAGTCCAAAGCAAAAGCCAATTTTCAAAAGCATTCAGTATTTGATATTAGCAGTTGAAGGCAGTTCTTTTCTTTTCTAAAAAAATATATATTTCATTGATTATGTGATTACAGTTCCAATTTCCCCCTTAGCTCCCCTTTACCCAGTATCCCCCATTTCCACTGGCATTCCCCCCTTAGTTCATGTCCATGAGTCATGCACATAAGTCTTTTAGTTTCTCCATTTCCTACACTATTCTTAAGATCCCCCGTCTATTCTGTACCTATCAATTTGTACTTCTTAATCACTGTATCTCTGCCCCCATTCTCCATTTCCCCCCTCCTAACTGATAACCCTCCAAATGATCTCCCTATTTATGATTCTGTTTCTGTTCTCCTTATTTTCTTTGTTTATTATTTTTTAAAATTTTAATATCAAATACTTATTCTTTTTTATCATTTTTATTGTTTTCTTATTACAGTTGTCCCAATTTTCCACCTTTGCCTTCCTCCACCCATCCAACCCTGTCCTACCCCAATTCTACAGTCATTTCCCACATTGTTGTCCATGTCTGTGGATCATTCATACATGTTCTTTGATTTTTTTTCAGATTCAGTTATTGATTGTTTTCATTTTATTGCCATTTAAATGTTCATAGTTTTGATTTTCTGTTTCTTAAATAAGCCCCTTTACATTTCATATAGTAATGGCTTGGTGATGATGAGCTCCTTTAATTTGGCCTTATCTGGGAAACACTTTTTCTGTCCTTCAATTCTAATTGATAGCTTTGCTGGGTGATGCAGACCCTGGCTCTTGGGGTCTGCCACATTGTGGATGAGGCACGAGAAATTCACACAGACTACGAGTCCTGTGGAGGAAAACGGACAGCATGATTTCTCTCTCAAAAGGAGAAAAAGCCTTGGCCCTTGCCTTGACTGGCTTTTATTTCTTTTCTGGGCACATTACATGATGGTCCTCAATTACTATGCACAGGTTGGCTTTAGGTGGTTACCTTTTACAGAAAACAAAGGAGATGATGCCACTAATCACATCACGGGAAAAAGATATTTCCAAATGCAAAGGGAAAAGTGGTTGACCAGTTACACTCCATACTGGGGAGGCATAGCATGGATTTTAGAAAGTTACAGTAAGCACTTTCTGTCTCAATTCAGGGTAAGGGAGTTTTAGCAAAAGCAAGCCTCAAAGCAGCCTGGGTACGATGCAGGTCTGATTTCCTACAGGAGAACTTATCCGTGGGTGTGGGTCCTGTGCATCTCTGAGTTGGAGCTGGGCCCACACCACAGCAGAACGGTTTCCTATAGTTAGTTAGGTAGAGTAATCTAGGTTGTAGGTCCTTGCTTTTCATCACTTTGAATACTTGTTGCCAATCCCTTCTATCCTGCAAAGTTTCTTTAGAGAAATCAGCTGACAGTCTTATAGGTGTTGGGGACTGTTCTGCCTGGTTTCAGGAATTGTAACTACCCCCATGGCTAAGGATGAGCGAGTGACCTCTGGAATGTGAGCCACAGAAGACAAAGACTTGTCTCTGGTAGCCAATGCTGCCTCAGTTTCCTCTCCCTGCCCCCAAAGTGTTGTCGGAAGTCAATGACAGGTTAGACTCCTCACAGAGAGGGGCAACCTAAGCCAGACTCAATCACTTGGGAAGCCATCATGGAAGGACTAGGGGGGCTGCAACAAAGAAGCAACAATGGACCCTTGCCCCCCAGGTATGTGACATAGCCTGTGTCTCCATGTCCTCTGGGAGAAGTGCTTTCTGGCTCTAATCCACTTAAGCCTGAAAACCTGATGGGGAGGGGTGCAGCTCCTTGCCTTGCCAAAGCAGTATCCTGGGAGAA